CCAGCGGGACTCGAATCACAAAAGTGCAGTGTATAATCTCGATACGTTAACCATGACACTACATTGCCACGAGCGCCCGTAATTCACAAAACAGATGCGAATTTTAAGTAAGGCCAGAAATTTTCCCATATCACATTCTCTGGTGGGATTGTCGACGAGGCAAAGTTGCATTTGCTATAGCAATCGACTACGTTACTTATGTTCCGTTTTCAAGTAGGTTCTGGAGACTGGTTTGAGCCCCACAGGGAGTGTTGATAAGACCTAGTTGAGGTCGAAACTGCAGTCCACTCCTGCCTAGATGAGAATAACTTTTGGGAAAGCAAGGCTATGTGAAATCTAATAGAAACGTTGTGTCTAATCATATCATTCCGGGAAAAATTCAACTACCACACCGCTTATAAGCTTAAACGAATTTGAGATGAATATACTTCATATATATAAATGACCTACTGGTAGTCTCAAAAACCTGCTTATAAACGAAACATTAAATCTGTATTTGTTTTCGGCTTTGGCAGCTTCTGACAAGGGAAGAACAGACGAAAGGTGAGCGCAGATGGATCCAGATCGTAGAACGGTGCATTCATGATCCAAAAATCCCCCTTGCGAGACAGTCCTCCTTCAGCAAACGATGGAGTCAATACAAGAATCCTTTCAAACGAAATTTTGCACGCAAACGAAAGTCGTATCACCGTAAAGTTTCAAGGGATTCATGGAAACCCAACTTTTATTCATAATTCGGACGTTGTTTTGACGAAGTGGATTCCACCCATAATTAGAGTAGGCTGCCATGGAGAAGATAGACTGTGCAAATGCGAGTGGGAAATCTAGCAGCCGCTGTCATATAAACACACTTAATACAGGTAACCTGCACGGTGACGCGTTGAGCTTCGTTCGGACCCGCAGAATTAGGCCCAGTTGTGGGGTCAGCCGGCCTCGGGCTCGTCGAGCCCGCAGTGTGGGCGCCCGACGGGACGGAGTGCAGGCATCGGCAACCGGCTGTCAGCACGAGCGGTCGGGCCTGCCGGGACTCGAAGGCTGGGTCGACTGAGACCCATTTCGACTTGACCCGGCGCCGATTGACCGGAGCCCCGGCGTCGAGGAGGGCGAGCAAGTCGCGGCCCCTCGCCTGCAAGTCGGCGGAAACAGCCCAGTTAGCGCCGTCGTAGCCGTAGCTGTCGCCGTGGCCGTTGCTAACTTCGCAGAGTTGATGGCGCAGCAGCTGACAGGCCGGCAAACAGTCGACCAGCAGCATGAGCCGGTGACCGGGCCAGAGGAGGCAGCCGCGGTAGGCGCTGCGCTCCAGTGAACACCGTCGCTCGGCCAGTCGAGTCATTGTGGCCCAGTCGAAGCGGGCCTCTGCCTTCCAGGCGGGCAGGTCGTCGGTGGCGAGTGTGAGCGGAGGCAGGCTGACGGTATCGCCGGACGGGCCGGGCAGAAGGAGGCCGTCGAGCGGCAGCAGTCGGGCCGACACAGAGCCCAGCTGGTGGACGGGCCGAGGAGACAGACTGTCCTGACGGTCGCCAGGGCCTGGCGTGGAGACGGTGGCGACAGGAGCCCGAAGACCGGCGGTCAGCGGCATCGTGAGAAGGGCGGGCAGCTGAGTCAGGTCGGGCGGCATTTGGAGGCTGGCCTCTGCGAGGGCGTCTGTAGACGAGCCGTGTGGAACTTCGTGTGCCAAACTGGGTGCCAAGTCGGCCGGGTGGAGCGAAGACAGTGGGTTGGTGTAAGTACAGATGGAATCAGTGACCGAGAGGAGAATGACGTGTTGCTGGGGCGAAGGGCTACTGGCGGCCCAGATCACAAAAGGGCTGCCTGGGATGTGCGACATTGTCTGGTGGTTCACGTAGGAGGCGTGAAGTAGGTAGGAGCCTAAGTTGTCAAGGGGGTTGAATTAAAATACAAAAATAAACTCAATTCACATCAATGCTCATGGGTGGGATTCACATGTAAACACACCCTTATTGCCTCATCCATACAAACATGCAATCACGCTCACTGGCCCAGATACACACACTTACATGCAGATATGAAGAAA